TTAGTTGAAAAAATAAGTCACATTTTTTTCAACTAGTCTAAATTGTTATTTTTCAACCAGCTGCAAAAGTCAGTCACAATCTACTAGAGTCATTTCATTTATGACTGACTTCGGGGTCTACATCCATACCAGCAAGATAAGATATGCCCAGTGGAAGCTTTGATTTTAAATAAAAATATTTGGCAGTACAGTAACAATCACCAGTATGAAATATTCAACCTTCAGTCATACACATCTTTTGAATTTTTTGGTGGTGATACTGAATAATATTTGTCAAAATATCTGGCAAAATCGGGCTTTCTAGAATGTTTACAGGCTAAAACTTGAACGACTTTACTTCAAATGATTAAACATATCTGCTCACTTCACAGACAGCAATTTCAAGGGAAAGCATAACAAGGGCGTATAAATACTGTAGTCTCTATTGTATTCATAAATAAATTTTGATACCTTTTTTGTAATTAGTCAAGGGCAATAGCTAAAAAACGTCCATCGAAAGATCGTCAAATTCGAACTTGTCCAATCTATTGCGTTCAAAAGCCAATTGCGGATGGACCGACGGACAAGGGCAACCACAATATACGACCACATTATAATGTGGGTGTATAAAAACATTAAAGGAACGCTGCTTTCGTTTTGTTTACGTTCCCAAACCAAGCATCATAATGAGTGATTTGTTTTGATTAGCTGAAATTTTACTACCAGACAGCAGGACCAATTCCGAATAAACAATATTTAGCTATAAATACATAATTATTCACACCTGTATAACCATGGGTTTCGATGAATTATTAACAAGTTTAATCAAAGTCGGTTGAAAACTCTTGTTTCTATTAAATAGCAAATTTACTTTTGATTTTCATTTCATCTAAATTTCAAGGAAATTTTGCTTACAAGCTGAATTTGACTAAATTTCACTAAATCACCGGCAATAACTCCACAGTAGGTCATTGACATACCTTTGACTGCGAACTTGTCCAGATTTGATAATTCTTCATTTCTATAACAAAATTTCATGCTTTGCAAAAAATGTTTGGCCTTGTCTGCAATTTTATGCATTTCAAGTGAAAAGCTAATTTTTTTCAAATCAAAATCAAAATTTTGAGCAGAAATAATGGAAATAAAATTCTATTGCAATTAACAATTGTGGAATCCATTTTTTGGAGTGGTGGAAAACTCAAATTTCAATGAGATTCAGAAAAAAAAATGTTTTACGTTTCTTCGAACTTTAATTTTGTCAACTTCTATTACCAAAAAATAAATTTCATCAAATAGTTTTGTCTCAAAAGTCGACCTGAACTAAACACATAGACATACATGGTTTCAGAAAAATCTAAAGACTGAAGACTCTCAACAGCAATTAACGTAGGATAGACAAGGTATTGCACATATAAATAATAATAATAAAGGCATATAAAAAGGAACTTACATGTGGTGGAAATAAATTACTGGATTCTAAATCGATAGCTTCTAATGAATCTTCATTTGATGGTGGTATACTAACAAAAAACAAAAGAACATTATTAATGAAATGATTTTTAACATGGTGGTTTAAAATAACTGGTACAGTGAAACCTTTCTAAACGAACAGGCTGTCGGACCACCGTGAAATGCCGATTTCGATGGGTTGCTGGTTTACCCATATGAGTGTTCTTAATGACTTAATCCATTATCTGAATCAACACCTGTTCCCAAAACGTTGTAGACCATATTTCTTCCCCAAATCACCTTAAGAGAAATTTTGTGCAATTTAAGGTGCTGGTTTAAGGAGACTGATTAACTATAGATTTACTACTTTGGGACTTGATTTCGATGCCGGATTGCGGTTTAGAGGGGTTCCGGTTTAGAGGGGTTTATTTCCTATATATTATATAGTGATTCTGCCGGGACTTTTCAAATGTACAGGTTTACAGAGGAATCTAGATTATAGGATGCATTTTAGAGGGGTGCTGGTTTAGAGGGGTTTATCTCCTATATATTATATAGTGATTCTGCCAGGACTTTTCAAATGTACAGGTTTACAGAGGAATCTAGATTATAGGATGCATTTTAGAGGGGTGCTGGTTTAGAGGGGTTTATCTCCTATATATTATAAAGTGATTCTGCCGGGACTTTTCAAATGTACAGGTTTACAGAGGAATCTAGATTATAAGATGCAGTTTATAAAGATGCCGGTTTAGAGGGGTTTATCTCCTATATATTATATAGTGATTCTGCCGGGACTTTTTAAATGTACCGGTTTACAGAGAAATCTGGATTATAGGATGCGGTTTAACAGGGTTTCATTGTATTTGTGTCAAATATTTATTTAATTATAATATTTTCACTTTTCTTTTGTCAGTATTTTTCAGTAGTTGATACAGCACCTGATATAGCCTAGTTTTCTAAGAACTGAGCTCTCTTTTTATGCAAGCCCCTCAAGTCCGCATCTATGACAGGGAGAAATTTCATACAATGGTAACATTAGTTACAAATAAATATCTAGGCATATAACACTATCGACTAAATAAAATTATTGTTGTTTTTCAATGCAACATCCGTAATACATTGAGTTCTCAAACAAATAATATTTAGCGCATTCGTCTTGAGACTCGCGTCCGACCCGAGGTTGCAAACATACAGTGGTAACATTAGTTACAAATAAATATCTAGGCATATAACACTATCGACTAAATAAAATTATTGTTGTTTATCAATGCAACATCCGTAATACATTGAGTTCTCAACCAAAAACATTATTTGAATCGGTAAAAGAACGGGCTCGGGTCAGGCGCATGTAAGCTCGGGTGAGTAAACGAATGTGCAACTTATATGGGAGATAACTAACTTTTAGCATATTCGATTTACCAGATTCAATCGACTTGGTTACTTGCTTTGTTACGACAGAAATTTTGTTTGTTGGTTTAAATTTGATATTTTAAAAGCAGATAAATTTATGAATTTCTAAAGCATTAAAATTAAAATAGCCAGATTAAATCAATTTCAAATATGTTATGCAGCCGGTCAAGCATTCGGCAATTTCTTTGATCTCCATCTCCGTCAGTCATTGTGTAACATTTGGCACCCGACCACCGTTTGTCGCAATGCCGTGTGATATTGTGATTATAATATTGCTATTAGTATTTAAAAGACATGAATATAGTCCATGCTTTAGAATCTTTGAGGGGAAATTGATTATAAAGATAGCTTGCCAGGCAAGGTAATATATGCCCACTGGCAGCTTTGATTTTGAATAAAAATATTTAGCAGTACAGTAACAATCACCAGTATGAAATATTCAACCTTCAGTCATACAATTCTTTTGAACTCTTTAGGGCGATACTGAATAATATTGAGTATGAGTTATTGCCCTTGTTCTTGAAAACGTGTTTAATTTTTAGCTCGTGAACACTCTAGAAGGCAAATATTCAATCTTCAGTGTGGAACTGAATATTAAAACCAAGTATTGTCAAAATCAAGCAACAATCATGCCTTTTAGTGTTTTAGAGCTAAAGTTGAAAGTGTTTTCAAGAACAAGGGCAATAACCCTTACTAAATATTTTTCGATTCTTCTGATTTTCAATAGGGTTCATCCTTGGGTGGTTACGAACATTCACACCAAGTTTCATCAAAATCCGTCAAGAATTGTGCCTTCTAGTGTGATTACGGCCTAAAAATTGAACTCGTTTTAAAGAACAAGGGCAATAACTCATACTAAATATTTTTCGATTTTTCTGATTTTCAATAGGGTTTATCCTTGGTTGATAACAAACACTCATGCCAAGTTTCGTCAAATCCAACATTCGACGGATGGACGGACGTGGGTGACGGCCATATACGCCCCCCATTTCATGTGGGCGTATAAAAATGATGACATGACTATTTTGTTCAATGGGACTAGATTTAGGGTGGGCGATTTGACTTGTTAATCCAAGTGAGAGGTAATAACATGGTAGGTAGCGCTGTCGCTGATTCTATTTTGCCGTTTGGACTATAACAACTTAGAGGTCTAATCATTATATTTTTATGGTCGAACCAACACGAAAAAAAAAAAAACGATCATATGAAATTTTTCTGTCGACAGATTTTGATACGAAAAATGACGAGTGGCGATTTTTTTTTTTTGCATTATTTACGTGCGGCGAATCCATCGACCAATCAATCCATTTGGTGTGGCCTTAGTGAACAGGTAAACCACTGTCCATCATGGACAAGTATGAACACATCAGAGATCAATAGGAAGAAAATTTTGAGTACCACTTTTTAAAAATCTATGATTTTCCAATAAATATTGATTAACAAGTTGCAGAATTTTGGTAAGTAATTAAATAAAGTTTTTCTCATATGACTTGTCAATCACTTTCAATAGAGGAATTTGAATTGCAACTTCACAATTATATTCCACTATAGCCCTACGGGCATCTCGGATTTACGAATGCATTATTCTTGTTACGTCACTAGAATATGCACGCCAATCAACATTCAAAGAAAGAAAAATTCACATGCTTGTCTGTGTATACAAGCAGTCATGTGACTAGATATGGGTACTATATAAACCATAGCTTACTGTGATCAACAAGAAATACCATGATCAGAACGAGTTTGGAAGAATGAAGGAGACCGAGTAACTCACGCCACACCATCCAGGGCCGAGTTTCACCGCCATGTCATTCGACCCGACCAGATCTAACGAAGAATCAACAACCAAACCAACAACACCGAATCATCCAATTTGATCCAATCCAACTACCAACTACTACGACTACCAACAACTACCTAGTTTGCGATATCAGCATCCGCTGGAAGCGAACGTTAACTTGTCATCTACCAACCAACCAACCGTGATCAATGTCTTTTTTCTTGTTGAAAGCTAGACCTTGCACGTCGTAAGTAATTTGTTTACTCTGCTTTTTGTCGTTGACATTAGCGTCCTCTACTTTTACTTTAGTGAAAGCCGCTGGCTTTCATTGTGTTTTAGTTCCGATTCGATCCGTTGGGTCTTATCTATTTTATCAAACACGATGGATGATTCAAACATCCCTGTCAACAATGACATTATTATTAGTTATGATCCATTGGACTTAAATTCTTTGGACACAGATATATCTCCCTCAAATCGGGCCACTGTACATAATGTTTGTGTTGGAATGCAAACATCCGGGGCTTCTGGTAAACCGGAAGTGAAAACAAAAGTAAACAATCCGAGGAAACGCCGGAATTGTAATACTCCCACTGGTGAGACCATTAATAACCCCAAGACCCGGAAAACAAATGTAGTAAGATCGACTGTTGTCAAGTCGGGTCGTAAGGTGCCGACTAGGCCTACTGTTAACTTTAGTCATGGCCATCTGAATGAGGGGAGTAAGTCCAACTCCAGTGTTGGTAATAAACCATGTACAGTAGGTTCGAGTGAATACTACGATTTTTCATCGGCACCTAACAATGAGCAGAATGATTCTGTTTATGATTATGAACATGATCATGACCGTGATATATATATTTTGATTGTGACCCTTCAACGTTTACTGAGATGGGAAATAACAATCCTAGTACTACTAGCTCTTATAGTAATTGTAGGCCTAATGATAATAGTAATGTTCTTCTTAATCGACAGGAGTTCGAAGATATGAAGAATGAAATGGCTGCCATGAAGAATTTTTTACAGGCAAATATTCCTATTGTTCAGGAAGTTAAGAATGACAGGCCTACCGGTGCTCCTACCGAACTACACGACACCAGTAACGAGCCTATAATCGATTTAGTTGACCCACAGTCAATGTATGATGAATTTCTTGAAGAATTCGAGGACCCTGATGAATTTGACATTCCAAAAATCTTTCAGGGGGATGATCTCTTTGCTAAACCAGCTAAGGATAGCATCTTAAATCTGGTCAATGTTGCCACATCTAAAAGGGTCGAAATTGGCAAAATGGCTTCTAAGTATCCATTGCCTGTTAATTGTAAACGTCTTGTCCCTCCTTTAGTGGATGGTGACGTTTGGAGTGTCTTGCCAAAACAGGCCCAGGCTCAGGATAGCTCTTTGCAAGACGTACAAAAGCTCATTGGCCTCAGTATAGTCCCCCTCCTCCCTTTACTTTCCTTGAGGGACAAACAGGAAGTGAAGAATAATGTGGTTGATTCCATAGTTACAATGGGAAATGCCATGTTGGAATTATCCTTTAGGAGAATTTTTCTCAAACGTTTTCTGAGCAAGAGATACCACACCTTGTGTTCGACAAGTCGCCCCGTTGATGAAACCTTATTTGGCCCAGATGTTGCGACACGTATGAGAGAGATCGATCAGTCTAATCGCCTCTATTCTAACTTGAATAACAATTCTAATAGAAATTACAGATTTAATAATAGACGATCTTTTTTAGGCCAGGGCTCAGCCGGCCGCTCAAGAGGCAGGTTTCGGTCAAGGGGGCGTTCTCGGGGAAGATATTCCCGAGGACAGAATTACCAGCATCCTCAAACAACTACTCAGCCACAACAGTCTGCTTAAATATAGTAAGTAGCAAAAATTTATTTTCTGCCGGTCAAATTTCAAACTATTTATCCAACTGGAGAAAGTTGTCTTCAGATCAATGGATTTTAGAGACCGTTCAGGGGTACTTTATTGATTTTATCAGTCCCCCTGTTCAAAGATATCAACCTGTTGCACCAAATTTTAATGAATATGAAATGTCTTTGATTGATAAGGAAGTATTTGATATGTTTTCCAAGGAAGCCATTGAGATTGTTTCAAGTGATCCCCGACAGTTTGTTTCAAATATTCTTCTTGTTCAAAAGAAAAATGGCAAATTTAGACCAGTAATAAATTTGAAAGCTCTTAATGAATTTGTTGAATATGAGCATTTTAAACAAGAGACTTTGTGTATGACTCTCCGTACAATTCAACCCAATGATTTTTTAACGTCCATTGATCTGAAAGATGCCTATTTTTCAATACCAATTTATTCTGGGCACAGAAAGTTCCTAAGATTTTACTGGCGTAAAATTCTTTATCAATTTACCTGTTTGCCATTTGGTTTATCATCTGCCCCTCGAGTTTTTACCAAAACTCTCAAACCTATTTTTGCTCATTTAAGGAGACAAGGTATAATTTGTTCTTATTTTATTGATGATTCTCTGTTTTCTGCTAAAACATGGGATCAAAGTCTACGTAATACTAAGAAGGCATCAGACCTTTTTGAGAGTCTCGGGTTTTGCATTAACTGACAAATCCAATATGATTCCATCCAAGGAAATTGTATTCTTGGGATTCTTGCTAAATAAAGAGACTTACACAGTCTCTTTAACACCTGATAAGGTTAAAATTAAAAATATGGCCAGTGATTTATTATCATCTGAAACTCTGACTATTCGTAAACTTGCATCTTTTATTGGGCTTTGTTCATTTTCAAGAACGGCTATTATTGTCGCTCCTCTGTTTATTCATTACTTAGATAAGCATAAGACTTTAGGCCTTTTTAGTAATGATCAAGATTATGATGCTTCTATTTATCTTACTAGGGATATGAAATATGAGTTGGAATGGTGGATTCACAATGTGGATGATTACAATGGATTTTTTATCCAACCCCCAGAGTTTTCAGTTGTCCTTACAACAGATGCTTCCAATTTGGGTTGGGGGCTGTTCTTGGTAATAACCATATTAATGGTTTGTGGACTTGTTCAGAGTCTGGTTTTCACATAAATTATTTGGAGCTTCTGGCCGTTTTTCATGCCTTGAGATGTTTTTTCAGTAAGGTTTCAGGGAAACTCTATTGAGAGTTCATATAGTGTTGTCAACACTCACAGGTCAGCTATTTCACAAACGTTACAAATTCTTGACAATAATGTTTTGAAAGATCAGTCTTTGGTCAAACGTTTCATGAAAGGTCTATTTGACAGGAAGCCTCCTCGGCCTAAATATCTGGTGACATGGGATGTTTCTGTCCTGGTGCGTTATCTTTCCACCCTGTATCCCTTGGAAAACCTAACATTGAAACTCTTAACATATAAATGTGTCTGCTTAATGTCCCTTTGTTCACTGGTCAGAGATATCAGACACTTACTGCATTTGATATTAACAATATCTTAGACAATGGTTCATCTGTCTCATTAAGAGTCAACAGAGTTTTGAAGACTTCCCGGATAAACAATCCTCTATATTCAATTCATTTACAGAATTTTGTAGATATAAAGGTCTGTCCTTGTGCTACGCTTAGGAAATACCTGGAACAGACTGCAGACATTAGAAAGTCTGGACAGCTTTTTATTTCCTTTATTACTCATAGAGCTGTCTGTGCATCCACCATTGCAGGGTGGATCAAGAAATGTATGTTGTCTGCTGGAATCGATACCAATATTTTCACTGCGCACTCAGTTCGGAGTGCTACAACATCAGCTGCATTAAAATCTGGTTGTAACATTTCAGATATTATGAAGACTGCCAGCTGGAGGAATGTTGATACGTTCAACAAATATTACAAGAGGGAAACTGTAAATGCTGATGGTTTTCAGGAATTTATATTAAAGACTTAAAACTTTGGTTGTTTTTTCTGTTGTCAACCCTTTAAAATTGCATTTGTAAATCCGAGATGCCCGTAGGGCTATAGTGGAATATAATTCCCCTCTCATCCGAGCGCCCGTAGGGCGCGATGGATGAGAAGGATTATATGAATATATAGCCCGGAGGGCTCGAGGATTTATGATCCCTCCCTTGGCTTTTTTTTTTTGGTTGACAAACTTCTACTTTAAAAAAGACATTGATCACAGTAAGCTATGGTTTATATAGTACCCATATCTAGTCACATGACTGCTTGTATACACAGACAAGCACGTGAATTTTTCTTTCTTTGAATGTTGATTGGCGTGCATATTCTAGTGACGTAACAAGAATAATGCATTCGTAAATCCTCGAGCCCTCCGGGCTATATATTCATATAATCCTTCTCATCCATCAAGGGGAATTCTATCAGATACCTTAAGTCGTATCTAAAGGGTTATTTAGACATATTTGAAGGGCAAGACGATCATAATAAAACTTGATGACAGTACAAAGTTTCTTGAAAAAATAGAAACTGTGGTGCTTATGAGTCCTATTATAATTGAAAGGCTTTGGACCATCAATTGTGTGCCTGCAATTTAATAGGTTTCTTTCTTACAATCAATATAACAATCTCAAATAATTTCAAGAAAATATCTTAACAATTCATTAGTGTGTTTACAAGACAAAAATTCTTAAAACTTGCATGGGTCGTAAAGTTCTCCATTTTAGGTTGAAGTAGGCCCTTGAAAATAGATACAACTAGACCTGTTTGACACAGATGTTTATGTTTCTTAAAACATTAATGGAAATAGAGTGTCAATGTTTGAAAAACTTTCCGACTGTAAAATTATTTTTAATGGGCCATTTTAAACAGTGGATTTTTGGTTATTTCACTAAGGTGTATTAACACCATTTGACATGTTACTCAATCTTCTTAACTCATTGTAACATTTATATCTTGTCTAATTAGAGTGTAATTTTATTTTAAACATTTTGTTAATTTTTTGGTATTTACCAAGTTTTGTGGAAATCGAAAAAAAAGAAATTGACAAAATTTTGAATTCTGAAACTGCAGTTTGCTTGGAATGTCTTTCAACATTGCAAATCAACATTTTCAGCTAAATCAAACAAAAAATAAGTTTTTTATGACAGACTTCCAAAATTATGCAGTTTTTTTTCGCTACATCACTTCGTGATGGAGCCTGATATCTGCGGAATGTCTAGCGCAAGGCCAAAAATGTTTCAACTATTACAGTCTTTTCCTAGGTACTCTGACAACAATTTGAAAACTATAACAGCTCTGAGCCCTACAACAATGCCTTATCGCATGGATTTCGAACCATTTGATACTTCTAGCCTGTCACATATTCTTAAAGAGAGAATGCATTCTAATAATGTAAACCACATTGATGTGGGATAAATACATTTGATGTTAGGACTGGAGTTAAAAACTTTGAATTTTTTTTCAAAATATGTTTATGCATAATTGCCATATATCATCACATAGATAACCATAGTCGTCCAAAGTTGCAAAAATGATTTCAGTGGGCTATAAATTCAGAAGTTGATGTTTTTCATCCAATATCAGGATATCTATAGATAGTTAAGGTCAAGGACAATCTACACTGAAAAAATTATAAGTCAAAGTCACAAGATATAGACTTGGCATAGTAAAAAAATTTTCAATTCGAAATTCTGTTCCCAAAAATTTTTAGATAAAGTAACAAGATTTGATAGACACCAAAATCATACAAATCACAAAATGAATGGCGAACTTACTAAAATTTTAATACAAATGTGCCACTCTCAGGTAATGGTGCACTTCCGGTTGGAATCTTTTCTTCCCAGTTGATTTGAATTATTTATTATAGTTAATCTGTACCGTTTTTGTCTACATTTGGGAATTACATCTGAAGCAGGGTCACCCAAGGTGATTTTGAGAAACTGGAGGTTCTCACGCCCAAATCGGAAATAATTTTAAAATTCTGATGACACAGTTTTATTTGTTTTGGCATTTTGTCTATATACTGTAATTTTCACATTGATCTGATAATTAGCGCTTAGTAATTTTCTGTTGATGATGATGTCTTTACTTGTTTAATTGGATTTGTCCTAAACTTTTGATACGATCGACCATAAAAATCTTCTTAGTAGATTGGAAAACGAATATGGTATTAGTGGTGTTGCCTTAAAATGGTTCTCTTCATATCTATCCAATAGATCTCAAACCATCATTGTTCATAATGCATCATCAGAAACAGTCCTTGGTCCGGTGTTGTTCAGTTCATATACCAAACCCCTTCGTAAAGTAATTGGATATTACCAGATCGGTCATCATTTCTATGCTGATGATTCTCAGCTTATTGACAGTTTCTCGCCAGCTCTTTCAAATCAAGACTTAATTTACTCCAAGATGAAAGACTGTGTTTCCGTTATACAGTAGTGGATGAGTGTCAACATGTTGAAACTAAACTCTGATAAAACTGAGGCCATGTTAATTGGCTGGTCATGAACTTGAGGGTCTCCAATTAGGTCAATCATTCATTTCTTTCGTTTCTACGGCTAAAATCCTTGGAATGTACTTGGATCGAAACTTGGGAATGGAGGTTCACATCAGTCATATTTGCAAAACCTGTCATTTCCATCTATGAAACATAGGGGCTATTCGTCATCTAATCACCAGAGATACGTGTGCCACACTTGTTAGATGTCTCATCCTCTGTCTTTTAGACTATTGTAACAGTCTTTTGTATGGCTTACCAGACACCCAGATTAAACGACCCCAGAAGATACAAAATCGAGCTGCCAGACTAGTAACACGTACTAAAACTACTGTACATATTACCCCTGTCTTAAACAACTTGCACTGGTTACACATCGAAGAGCGTATTGATTTCAAAATACTATGTTTGTGTTTTCAAGCAGTTAATAACATTGGTCCTTCCTACATTCAAGATCATTTAATTTAAAATCATTTGGTTCTAGAACATTTGCATATGCTGCTGCACACTTATGGAATTCCCTCAACATATCCATTAGATCATCTTGAAATACAGAAGACTTTAAATCCAAATTGAAAACACACGTGTTTGGTCGTTACGATTAGACTTACTGTGAATAAAGCTTGTGAAAGACATGTGTCAGCGCTTTGGGCACTCTCCATGACTCCATGTAGAGTGAATTTCAGCGCTTTATATATACAATTATTATTATTAATATATATAAAATACAAGCCAAATCTATTGAGTTTTTACTAAGTCAAGAGCAATAACTCTAAAACCTTTTATCTGATTATTACCAATTTCGAACTTGACCGTGATCTTATAAATATATACATGGATACCAAGTTTCATCAAGATCAGATAAAAACTGTAGTCTCTATCGTGCATACAAGTAATGTGGAAGGACGGACGGGTGCGACAGCAATATACGTCCACATTTAGCATAGACATAAAAATCCCTGTAAGTATTGAGAAAATATCTCAAAAACTCTGGCCTGTACAAAAAGTAACATGTATGCGTATAAAAACACAAAATGAAACATCTAGATACCTGTGTTTACTCAGATTGTGCAAGTTAGTAAAGTATGTGAAATGAAATATTGTCCAAAGTTTCCCAATACGCATTAACTTGGACCTTTTGGAAAATAACCCAGCTAAATGTTATTATCACATTTCTATAAGCATTTCCAAGATCAAATTTTTTAACAGATATGAATGTAAATGCTTAGTGCTACTGCTTTGGTAAATGACATGAAATATTATTCATGGTCGGTAATAAGTATAAGAAATAAGATAATTGATCTTTATCCACATAAACTTTAAAAAAACTTACTTTAATTGACTTCTGTTAGAAGGTACTGGATCAGACATCATTTTACTACTGCCCATATCAGAACTTCTAACTTCAATCATCGTTGCTTCAAACATTTTTTCTTTACTTTTTTCTTTTTCTTTTGTTTTCTTCCTCTTGTGGGATTTGGGAGATCTAGAAATAGTATATGATCTAGTTTTGATGTTCAGATATAGTAAAGAGATAAATACGTACATTGTTACTGTCCGTTTAAAATAACAACTTGTAAAGTCTACCATTTCTGAAAGATGTGTGTCTTAACAGGTTGTTTTAAGACAAAGATGCCAATCATTTTTTAGCATGATCAGAAAATTTCTCCCAATACTCAATGTTCTGTTAGGAAAATGATGAAAATAATGTATTCTGTCTTTTAACAGGCTTTATTACAATGAAATGTATTATTTTGCAGTTTTATTTACTTACAGCATTTTTGTTCAATGTAGAACAGCCTAACAATTACAGCTCAACCATTAAATGCTAAGTGAAATGCTTTAAATCAGTGAAAGCTTAAAAATAACCTCAGAACAAGGAAGATTTTTTAACTTTCAATACACTGAAAGAAAGCTTTCATTAAAGTTAGAAGTTAAAAATCTCAGGTATGTTTGCAAAAGAAACCTTTTTCATCAACAATTTCTTTCAACCCTTATCCACTAACCTACCACTTTTAACATGGTCAACTTCAAATTTAACCTTTGATTTAAGGAGGTGGAAACAAATTGAAAGATTATAAAGATTATCTTGTTGGATGAGCAGAGACAGCAGAAGAATTCAAAATTGAATCAAATCATACCAAAAATCTAATTTGTGCAAGATATTGTTGATTTAAACAAACACACATTATTTAATAAAATTCTGACATAAACTGTCACCTCCATCGCTAACAAATTTTGATGCCTTTTTACTAAGTCATAGACAATAACTCAAATTCCGTTGATCGAAAAATTGTCGAATTTAATCTTGACTAAGATCTCATCATTATAAATGATCATACCAAATTTCATTTAAATCGGATGAAAACTGTAGTCTCTATTGTGTTCACAAAACAAAGTTTTTCATAAATCAACCATTCATTGAAAGATAGCCAAATTTGAACTTGTCCAAGATCTCATCATTATAAATATTCACACCAAATTTCCTCTAAATTGGATGAGAACTGTAGTCTCTATTGTAATCACAACAAAATTTTTCATAAGTCAAGGGCAATAACTCAAAAACCATTCATCGAAAGATCGTCAAATTCAAACTTGTCCAAGATCTCATGAATATAAATGATCACACCAAATTTCATTCAAATCAGATAAAAACTATTGTCTCTATTGCGTTCAATAGCCAATTGTGGAGGGAAGGCCGGACGGACCGACAGACGGACAGGGGCGACGACAATATACGAACACATTACAATGTGGGCGTATAAAAACACTATTATAGAGCCAGATGGTGAGTAAAATTGAGATTTTGAAAGCTGTTTGGTTGCTGGTTATATGATATGGCAGCACAGAGGTTGAACTTAACTAAGAGCTGTAAATGAAAAATTGTCAATTGGATAAAGTGTTTGACATATTAACAAAATTTCATCAAAATTAGAAATGTTACAAATATTTAGTGTCTTACCTTGATGGAGACTTGTGTTTCTTTTTTGCTTTTGATCCTCTTCTTCTGGGAGAAACTGATCGACTATGAGATCTTTTTCTGTTAGCTGATTGCGAGGGTGATTTTATTGTTTTTCTAATTGGTGTTTTGGATCTAGACCGTTTTCGAATGTTTGATCTGGATTTTGACCTGTCTCTTCTTGAAATTTTTCTATCAAGAGATTTAGACTTTGACTTTCTACTTTTAGGTGAACAAGATTTATCTTTTTTTCTCTTATGTGATCTTGATCTTGACTTGGAACGGTGTCTTTTAGAGTGTTTACCCTGTAAAGAATTTGATGAAGAGTGATGTCGCCCTTTTGTAGAACTTTTTGAGCGTGATCTTCTCCTACGATAAGGTGAAGTTCTTCTCCTGGTACTCTTACTTCGAGATCGTCTACGTTTTTTTCTTGATTTTGATGGAGATCTACTCTTTCTCTTTTTTCTATCATGTTTTTCGGACGTTTTTCGTTTTTTGTCTATATCAGAATCACTAGATAAATATGTTAAATCAACTAACTCTACTGTTTCTACAGGTTCCACTGGTACTTCTACAATTTTAACATCATCATCATCATAGTCATCTTCTTGTTTATCACTAGTAACTGAATTGTTTTCATTTGTTTCACTAGTCCTATTCTCACTGCATTTGCTATTTTCAGTAGGCACTAAACTACCAGAATTGGACTGAGCTTTATCAAAACCAGGATCACTTTTTTCTTTCTTAATTACTATATTTGTCAAATGTGTGAGTTCAATCAAATCAGCTTGACTGTCATAATCACTGTTTCTTAAAGGAGATTTCTTCTTCTCCATCTGATGATTTAATGATTTGTCATTAACAGATTGTGATGTTCTGTCACCCTTAGATCGCGATGGTTTATCTTCGCGAGACCTTGATGATTTATAATCATTTGAACGTGATGATCTGTCATTGGTAGACCTGTTTTCCATGGCTTCTGTTAAGCTACTTGCACTCTTTGATCCATGTTTTACAGGTGAACGACTCCTTGTCAATGAATTCCTAGATGTTCTTTTCAAACTGCTTGGTGAAATTCTAGCTTTTCTTCTCTTTCTGTCTGGTGAAATTCTGGGTGTTTTACTCCTACTGCTGCGTGAATTTTTGGGTGTTCTACTCCTTCTATTTGGTGAAATTCTAGGCGTCCGACTTCTTCTTCTGTTAGGTGAAATTCTAGGAGTTCTACTACGTCTACTGGGTGATACTCTCCGAGATTTATGATTAGCACTGGGAGGAGATCGATATCTAGATCCTGGATTTTTAGAATGAAATGATTTTCTACTGGGAGACCTTGACTTAGACCTGAAACAGATAAGAATGAGAAATGAGAATGACAGGCAAAAGAACAAAGCCAAAAGCACCAAATATCAATAGGTAGTTTCTATATATACACATCAGATCAATTGTCAAACTGATAATTTGGCATAGCTTTGGTACCATGTGAAATCTGGTGAAGGTGAAGGTCTACTGGTATATGCTCAATTCCATAGATCGAGATGGCCTATCAAATTGCCATACACCCACTGGCAGCTGTCAGAAGTACTAACAATGTCTTCAAAAAAGGAATGTGTGCAAGTTTCATAAAAAGCAGATTCTTAATGTAATAAAATATGTGGATTTTGTTACACATAATTCGTGAAATCATTTTTGCAGAAGAAATAATCCTATTTTTAAGAACTTCATTTTAGGAATGAATGTGGATCTTGCTGTAATTATGGAAAAATAAAGGCTGCTTTGTTATGTGACAAGAAAAATGACCTAGCAAATCGGTATGTCATACAGTTTTCAGCATTTACAGGGTCTACTGGTATTTGGATATAAACTTTTCAAAAACAATCTGCTTTTCCATATAGCTATGTCTATACTACATCCTACCAAATTTTTGTTCCTAAAAGATAAACCTTGTACTTTATTGTAAATAAACCAAGTTGCACACATTTTTGTCTCATTTTAGACTTATTGAGGGTTTAGTCAAACCCTCTAAATGCCATAGCTTTTATACCCTTGAAATAAAATTGACTGGTTGTGTTGATGTTTTGATGGTACCTGATGAGCAAAACTATCTGTGTTTGACTATACAAGCTTATCTGCTTTCACAACAAATGTAGGTGCATCCAAATAAAAATAGTGTTGAGATATTTACCTTCTTGATACATTAAAAGAAAGTGGTGGAGTTATGGATTTTGAGGTAGCACGATGATTTGGAGATTCCTTGTCATCTTTTTGGCCATGTCCATAGTCAATAACAATTTTAGGTTCTTGGTTTCCAATATCTAGAAATCATTAAAAAAAAATATCTAAGTTATCTATAAAAGATTCAAAAGCCAACCAAATTATCATTCTTTGCAACAGTATATCTTAACATTTCTCAAGTCTGAACATTACTAAAAACCAAACTAAATCTTGAAGCAATGCAAATATTTACCGTTCTTTTGTTCACTTTTTCCCTTTAGCAGAGATATAAACATAGCAGCTTTCCTTTTTCTTTCTGCTTGGATTTGCTTCTCTTTACTTGTTTGTGCCAATTTTTCTCGAGCAGCACCAGCCAACTTATTCATCAATCTACCTTCAACTAAAGAGAAAATAAAGATATACTCTCCCGAAAAAAGAAAATATATGTGAAAAACTTAAATAATTCAAATTTTAAATACAGAAATAAGCAGATCATTACACTGTAATTTGGCAAACTGGTTATTCAGATCTTAGAAGAGTTAAGGATAGCATGCCAGTCAAGGTAATAAATGCCCACTGGCAGTTTTGATTTTGAATAAAAATATCAACAATCACCAGAATGAAATATTCAACCTTCAGGCATACACTTCTTTAGAATTTTTGGAGCCGATACTGAATCATATTACCAAGATCAAGCAAGAATCGTACCTTTTAGTGTTTTGTGAGCTAAAAATTGAAAGCGTTTTCAAGAACAAGGTCAATAACTCTTATAAAACAATTTTTTTGATTTTCAATAGTATTCATCCATGGGTGATAATAAACAATTTGACCAAATTTCGTCAAAATCTGTTAATAATTGTGCCTTCAAGAGTGTTTACAAGCTAAAATTGAACGTGTTTTCAAGAACAAGGGCAATATCTCATACTGATTATTTTACGAGCAATTGTGGAAGGACTGACGGGACGGACATAAGTTACAATATATACCCCCATTAGATGTTGGCGTATAATGAAATTTAAACTTAAGATGATGTCACTTCTAAAGTCAAGTGTTGGTGATAACAGTGCACATGTCAATCCAAGCCATATCACAAATGTGCCCTACTTATTTCTGTACCCTTTCCTTATGCATGATTACACATACTGACCTGAAAAGGTCACAGGTGATCAACAACTATTATGATAGTTTAACTATAAGCATGGCAACAGCTGTGAATCATTTCATCTAAAAATTTACTTCAGGCAAATAAGGCACAGCTCCTAGATGGTCGAAGAGATCATCTGAGGCATTTTAGGGAACTAAACATGGTATACATAGTACTTAAAGAAAATTCTGGGTTTTTTTTTTGTCAAAAATTGAGTTTTTGTCATATTTACTACCCAATTTCGAGGCTACATAGACTGTCACAAACCATTCTCATTTAATCAATCATTCAAATATTAAAGTTTTTTTTTAATTCTATGATAAAACTCTTGAGAGAGACAACTCAATTTCACATTGTGGCTATATTACTCCTAGTACAGATATCTAATAGCCAAAAAGGAAAATTTGTAAATTTCTGCGTTTCAAGCAAAACAATTTCGGTTGTAAATAAGTGGCAATAGCCTTGAACATCTAGAACAAGAAACTTAGGTATTTGCATTATTAGAATTATTTCAGATATTTTGCTCTTTATATTATCAATATTAAAGTAAAGTATAAGTTTATATGAAGATTTGACAACTAAACATAAATATCAATATATATAAAGATTCTTACCAGCTTTTTTATTTTCATCTTGAAATAATTCATTTTGACATATATTACTCTCTTCCAATCTATTACTAGTATGATCACTAGATGGTGTTGAGGATGAAGATTTTTCTTTCTCACTATCAGAATCTTAAAATACAAAATCTCAAATTAATAATCTTTTCAAACAACATCATCGTTTTTCTTAAAAACTATGTAACATGCAAAATGAAATGCAGTTTTATATTTTACGAGTATAACAATCATAAGTTAGTACATATTTGTTAATGAAAAGTGGTATCAGGTGTCTTGTAGAGCAAGTCATACTCGGAACTCGACAATGGCAGATCAGCTGTATTCAAAGCTGAAGAAATGAAGGCCAGAATTAGGTAGAAATCAAACTTTGTCATGGTATAAGCGCTGCTTGTGCTAAAAATATGGTTGCTACTTGGATGATTTGTTCAATTAAAGATGTGAGAGCAATTACAATAATTATTTTCTGTATTGCATTTTTTTTCCCAAGGAATCTAAAAAATGCTGCAATTTCAAAGTGTTTTGACCTATGAAGCTAAGTTTTTGTGAAAGTTTATATCTATATAATTATAAGATCAAAATCTTATGATGTAAGATTTGACACTTAATTAATAATCTTGAAATGAAAAATTGTTATCTTCTTTCTGGACCACCTTGTTAGGCTACAGTGTATTAGTAAATATAATGAATACTGAAACTACTTGGTGAAGTACCACTATTTTTTTACTTCTATATTTTGTCTAACACAATAAATATAATTCTCCTTGGGAAATTAAGGTCATGGGTCGTCCAAAGAAGTTGATTGGCAAATAGATCAGCCGACAGCTCTGAATCATTAGACAAGGCTTATTGTATCCAATGATATTAATCATCTTTTATAATTGGATGTTGGCCCGTCGATTAATTAGATTTATATGTGTAAAATGACCTTCAAAATGACTTATTGAAAGAGTTATAAACTAACGCAGAAAAAAAAAAGTTTTATGAAAACGATTCTGAAAATTAAAGTGGGAGTCACATTTACCCGGTTGCCGATTATCCAGAAAAAAAAACCAGATATCTACATGACATGGGTCTAAAATAGGAAGGGAAATAACTCTAGTTAAGGCAGGGCATGTTTCAATTATATGGAAATTTGTTTAACACATTATTTTATCGAGAACAGAATAATGCTGATAAACAAGCTCCATTTTATATCAGTTTAAATAGATACAAAATTTACCATTGTTATCATCACTACTGCCATAATCAAATAATGGTTTCTTCAATTGTGTTACTGGTTCACTTTCCTTATTTCTAGTCTTGATAGAAAAACTGACTGATTTATTCAACAATGCTACTTGAGCTTCTTCTTTCTCTTTCTTTTCTTTAAGTAAAATCTGAAATATCATGTATATAACTTACACAACCATAGAATTACATGACTAAATGACTGACATTATCTCAACATTAGATATATCAGCATGTTGAGCCTTTAGAAAATAAAGCAACAACAAATATCACAAGTATCAATCAAGGTCAATAATTAAGATTAGATCTTTTTTTCATAGGGATCATCTTTGATAAACAATTTCACCACATTTCCTTCTGAAGTCTTTACGACGATGTGGATGAACAGACAGACAGACTCCCTCACACAGATGAGCAAAATAGAATAGCACAATAATCAATGATACTAACCTGTTGGTGCATTTTCTTCTTGAAATCATAGTATTTATAATGAACATGCCAGTCATTGAGAAATTGAAATCTAACATCATTTTTACTTTGCACAACCATTTCAAATTCGCTGCCATTTTTGGCTACATACATAGCCATTCTATCTATAATAGGTTGTATATCAGGTGGTGGTGGAATTATGGGGTTTGGTTGATTGCTGGAAATAGTTTTTATCAATCTTAAAGTCATAAATTGGATTTAAATTATTGATTGATTAAAAACATAATCATATTCTATAATAATGTAATTACAATATTCAAATTATTTTCACTATCAGTCTCACTACTAAATAAAATTTATATCTTTGGCTTTCGGTACCAATGAATAGCAATGTTTACATCATTTTTTTTTTAATTGTGATAAAAGTAAAGTATGATACTGAACAATGAACAACAGAATATCGATTGCCATGGCCAATGAAATCACCTGACCCTCATCTTCCTTTAGCAACGGTATGATGGTAATGACTATCTAGCCTTTGCTCTCACAATCCCGGGAGCCACGGTGGCTCAGTGAGTTAGACGCTTGCTCGCTAACCTGAAGGTCCAGGGTTCAATCCCGGCATAGGTCGAGATAATACCTTCGGATTTTTCAACCCGGTTTCCCCCTGTCAGTGATGCAGGTACGAGGGGCTGACATTCAAAAAGCGTCTAGTCGTTCGGATGGGACAATAAACCGAGGCCCCTTGTGCTACAGGATGTGCATGTTAAAGATCCCTCGACAGTTGGAAATCGAAAAAGAGCAGGCTAATGCCGCTGTCCTGACAAAATTTCCCTCATTGCACCCTGCATGGCGTTGCCCGTCTTCATTAGCCCACATGGTGCAGAAAAGTAGGACGTAAAACTCATTCATTTCATTTTATTTCTCACAATCCCATGTTCTTGTCATTAATTTTTATTGGTAGAGAGTTTACATTTTGCAGGAAAATGTTTGAATAAGCAGACGCAAAATTTGAAGTACCAAATTTACTTTCGTTTAAATCTCAAAGGTCATAGTTGAGTTGTTGTCATAGTGACAAACAACTTTGATAGTTTTCAGACATGAATAAAAAAATTTTTTTACACCTCCTCAATCATCGTCCTTTAACTCCAAACATTACGAGATTACTGATTGTATATATCGAATGGTGACATATGGTCTACCAAGGGAGGTTATTACTCAATAACGAGCATAGGGGATTGTTCAAGCACGGATTAGATATGACTAATCATGGGGCTTACAATAAATTAATGACCATGGTGGAATTAAACCATTAAAATCCTTTAAAAATTAGTACAGTACAGTACAGCTTCTTATCAGAAACCATCTTACATTAAATTAATTTAAAAGTTTTTAGCATTTTCAAACACATGGCTTTCGGTGGACTTTAATTTAATCATGTAAATGAGCGTCTATGTTTTGCCGACTTGTTGATTTTTTGGGAGGGAATTTACAGATTTTTTTGTTGACAATTAGAAAATAAAGAAAAGAACTGCATATAGGTGACAAGTGCACCTATTATTTTTATAAAATAGGACATGATTACACCAAATGACATGATTATACCAAACGATATAAAACTATTATAACAAAACAAGCCATTAACAACATGGGATTGCTATGTTTTGAGTAGAGATAAAACCTACATTTATTTTGTGGAAATAAATAATATACTTTCACTCGCTCAGATTTTTTCTAGTTGGAAAAGCGCTTACAAATAATGAATAATAAATTTGCCCTCTCATCTTAATTTTATAACTAAAAGGCCTCTAAATCATACCATTTACTTTATATGGCCTTATATTTGACTCGTTAAGCTCTTGAGACCACAGACTGTTGATGAGCATTGCTGAAGGTTCTGTTGGCAACTTAAATTGAACACAACCACAAAGATGTTTTAACTTAATTTTTTAAAATTTTAAATGATGCATATTAGGGGTGTGTTTCAAAGAGGTGGGCAGTAGAGAAGGGTGGGGTGAAATAGAAGTTGTGATGGTGAAGAGGTGTTCAAAATAAATGAGAGAGGGTTTTTTCAATCACATGAGGAAAAGGTTTTCCTTGAAGTGGTCAGGGGTGGATTCAAAAGGTGTAATTTTTACAAACAAGTAAAAGATCTTCTATTTCAGAAGGCATTAGAAAAACAGTCTAATTTAGACATGTAAGTCGATTTTTTAAATGAACATATTGATGAATAAAAATAAAACAAAGCACAACTTTTAGGACTAGATAATATTTTTACCTAACAGATGAGTCATTTTCAGTATGCTGTAACTGGTGTATTTCTACAGATGGTGGTTTACTAATTAAGGATGAGGCATGGTAACTGTGATTATCTCCCTTTACTGTTACCATCAACTGTTGATTATAAAACTGTTCATCCTCCTGATGATATTCTCTCTCATGCTGTTGTGGATGTAAGGCATAGGAAGGTGTTAAAGCTTGTAAATCAGCACTAGGTTCAGGTCTGCAAGTAATATATATGTGGTAAAATAACACTGTTGTCACTGCCATAACATGATGTTTTGGCAAAACATTCATTTACACTTACCTTACATAATCTATAATTTGATCCATAAAATAAGGTTATTATTGAAATAGTCTGCTAAGCAAGTTAAAAATCATAGGGTGACTAGAAGTCTGTTGTAGTCAGAATTAATCATTATGTCATCAAAAGAAATTATCTGACTATCGGTGAAAATGGAAAAAAGTATGATTTAAACAAAAGATGAAGATGAAAGAAAGACAATTGCTAATACTTGATGGGATTTTCTTTTTTCCTTTTCAAGCACAGAACAGACTGATATTTTGACTGCCATATTGATATGACCAACTTTTGTGGGGCTGCATAATTCTAATGACGTATGTAATCTGCAAACGATTGCTCACAAAAACTAGGAAGCCGGTTTTTGAATTTCGCTTATCTTTTTTTGCAAGTTTAAAAATCACGTGACCTTGACCTTTAATGACCTTGACCTTAGTAGGATTGGCTATTTATTTGTACCATCATATTTGGTTACCGTTTGCATTTTTGCACCGTTTTATGATATCTCGTGACCTTGACCTTTGTTGACCTTCCCCTGAACAAGGCATCTGCTAACACTTGGATTTTTGGATTCTGATACTTCTGGTTTCACAACCTTCCAAAAAAGACAAATTTTTCGCAAATTTTGACTGCTTTAGCATGTGACCTAATTAGTCCAGAAGGTTGATTTTTTCAGATTCCCTTGCAAATTGGCACATCAGCAAGTTCCACTCTGTGCCATGTGTGACTCCAGTTGTAATTGTTGTAATTAAATCCCAAAAGTTATCCAGGGGGTTAATTTGAGTAAATTTCAATTAAATTTCAGTAAATGAAACATCTAAGATCTAGGTATTATATATAAGGTGTATTATTTGATCTTGGTTGGGAAGTATTAGGTATTCATCCTTGGGTGATTATATACAATTTCACCAAGTTTCTTTAAAATTGCAGAGAAATCTGCCTTCTAGAATGTTTACAGGTTAAAAATTGAAAGCTTTTTCAAAAACAAGGGTGATAACTCAAATATTTTTTTTATTTTTTTTTTTTTCCATTTTCATAAACCAACAGCCATGTATAGTTATGACACCAGGAAAGTTCACTGACTCTTATTGGGCGAGTTTGAGAATTTCAATTCAATGTGCATTCACAGAAGTAGTATTCCTTTCAGAATACAATTAATGCAAGTTTTCACACTGAAATTTCTGGACAATATGGGCTTGTACAAAATAATAAATTTATTTACAAATTATTTAAATAAACATATCTACTTACATATTTTCTTCTTTGTGATGCTTTCTTATAGATTTAACTAACTGACCATAAGGCGTATCATTAATAGACACTACAGGCATTTTAACAGACTTACAGGGCTACAACATATATGGACATATTTTTAAAATGACAAAACTAATAAATTTACTGATGAACAATGTAAAATATGTCTTATCAATCCATCATTACAACACAAAAAGTTATTTCAAACTACCATACATGTGTAATCTACCGATGTTGTCGCGTTTCTACCCTTATTGTGTACAAGGCTTTCCATATCTAAGGAATGTCAAACTGGAAGCTCCAATACTTCGTGAGAGTGTTGCAGGAAAATTATTTAATGATCGGAATGGAGATATTTAAGATATCATGAATTACACCTTTTGAAAAAGAAACGTTGCCAGTACATATTATTTACTAAATATTGCTTTCAGAACATACTGAATTTTTAATATGGTATTACATGTATGATATAGGCCTACCCATACCGTTTAATTTAGAAGGCTGGGATCATGCTTGCTTTCTTGTTTTCAAACATCATTTCACCTTGACATTATTTTGATTCAATCAATACTGAATACTGACAATATTAAATTTTTTTGGGCTCCTAATTTGAAAAATCAGGCACTATTTCTAGAATCATTTTGCCTGGGTAGGCCTATCCCTAATTATAGATTTGTTAAGTGTTACTATGTCATGTGGGCTTATGATCAATTTAAAGAGAAGCTGACATGGATCTCAATATTGCTTTTAAATATCTAAAACTATTTAATACAATTTTCCAAAGTTATACAGCAATTATATTGCTCAATACACGACTTAAGGCTTATTATAAAAAAATCACGAATTTACGCGCTTTAGAAAAATTTCCCGACTTTTCACCCAATCTCCAGATTTTTGAAGACAAATCTCCAGATTTTTTTCCTGACCTGTACACATGTATGAACTACTGTACTTTAATTTTTGGCAGAACCTTAAAGTTTACTGATTATTTTTAAGAGAATTTGAATTTCAGCTGAAATCCAGTACTTATAAACTTGGAATGACTTTGTGTTTACAAAAATATTCAATTTTAAATTTCATAATATCAACACACTTCTCTCTTCTACAGAAGATTACTCAAATTTTGGCCAATAATGACTCTCTGCAAAAATATATTTTAATATGGAACTATGTGCCCATAATTTATATTTTGAGCATAATGTCATTTGAAATTGTGAAGTACTGAAGCAGATATTCCAATTAATATGAACAAAGACATGAGCTTGTAAAATTCACAGTAAAACATCATCTTTACCAGTTAATCATTGACCCAACAATACTTTCTTTAGACCAGTATATTTAAACTGATATTAAGTATAATTACCTGTACTTTAGAGGCTAAAGATTTATGTAAGTAACCATGTTCATGATGATCATGTTGTTCATTATCTTCTTGACCTATGAAAAAGTTTTTGGCAAAATTAAATGTAAGTGGATATTTTGACATCCCTTTGAAACAATAGGAAAATATTCTGCAGGTTGAGGATTTAGAGATAACCCATGTTTATCAAAATATGCAAATGCAGAGGTCATCATTTCCAGAGATACTGTACTAATATCGCAATTTTTATGGGAGGTTGGAGAGGTTAGATTCTAAATCCACCCTTTCATTAATGTCCATTGAAAATTGTAGCTGCTACTTTGTCTACAGACAAATTTTGACCCGTTTTAACGAAGTAAAAATCAATTACCAAACTCTAAAACGGTTTTTAGAAAATCTGTCAAATTCAAGATATTTATAATTTTAATTACACCAAGTTTCAGTAAAATTCAGTAGCTTCTTTTGAGCTCAAAAACAAATTTTGATGCGTTTTAACTAAATCAAGGGCAATAACTCTTTATCTGATATAAGCAATTGTGACAACCAGACAGGAGTAATGACAGTTTACATCCATATATTTGGGGAGCATAAAAATTGGCGGACAGTTTCATATGTCTCAGAGATAGGATCCTTAAATTGACCTAGTTTGCAGACCTTACATAGAATACTTACTTTCATGATTTTTAATATCATTTGGTTGAGTTCTAGGAATATATTTACCACTTTTGATAGCTTTTACCACAAGTTTATAATAGCTGTTCAAGGAACTATTATAGTCCAAGAAATCAAACTGAGAATTAAGAGCTTGTTTAGCTTTTAGAACAATTTCCATTTGTGTACCATGTTCTGCTATAAATTTAGCTGTTTTTTCTATTACTGCATTTATCTTATTGGTAGTAGGCTAAAGGTAAAACATGGTAAGGTTACATTTTTGAAAGGAGAAACAATCTTTTTTGTGACTGGGTTATTAGAAGCAAAGTACCAGTTTGCTGTCCAAATTTTCATTGGGCACACAACAAAATCTGTAACATTTGTAGATCTGCTGTTGTAACCTTGTTAATGAATATGGATTAGATTATTTGTGCTTTGAAAGGTAGAAAAAGAAGCTACAATTTTGAGCCAATTTTACTTGCATTTTCCATTTTGATATCAATATAAATTTAGAAATCATCAATTTTTTTGTCTAAAAAGTTTGGAATATTCAGTGCAAAACAAAAATATAAACACGATGGCAGTCAAAAAGTATTGACATGAGAAAGATGCAAACTTCCAGAATGATTGCTGTATTTCAATGGAATGTTGATTGGTAGTCAATACGACAAAATTAGGACTGGAAGTTTTTTAACTGTGAAATGCAAACCATTTCACCAGGTTTTTTTTTAGGCATATAAGATTGGATGTAAAATATTGAATATTACTTACTACGATTAAATCTGAAGGAATGTTGAGACAAGATGGAGGTATAAATGGTTTTTCATCTTCTGAGTGTTGCTCATCTACAAAATGTAGATATTTTAATTCACAGAGATAGTTTGCCAAGCAAAATAATATATACCCACTAGCAGCTTGATTTTAGATAAAAATATTTGGCAGTACAGTAACAATCACCAGTATGAAATATTCAACCTTCAGTCATATAATTCTTTTGAACTTTTTGCAGCGATACTGAATAATATTGTTAAGTTTTGTCAAGAACTGGGCTGTCAAGAGATTTTGCAAGCTAAAACTTGAACGTATTTTCAAGAACCAGGGCAATAACTGATACTAGTTCATCCGAGGTTGATAACAAATTCCAACACCAAGTTTTGTCAAAATCCCTCAAGAATTGTGATTTCTAGAATGTTTACAAATCAAACCCGTTTTCAAGAACAAGGGCAATAACTCATAAATATTTTCGATTGGTCTGATTTTCAATAGGGTTCATACTTGGTGGATAATAAACATTCTCACCAGTTTCGTCAAAATCTGTTAATAATTGAACTTTCTTGAGTGTTTACAAACTAAAATTTAACTTGTTTTCAAGAACAAGGGCAGTATTAAATATTTTTTTATTTTTCTGATTTTCAATACAGTTTAGACTTGGATGATAACAACCAATAATAGCAAGTTTAGGCCAAATCAGTCAAGTTTTTGCCTCTTGAGTCTTTACGAGCAATTGTGGACAGACAGACATGGATGACGACAATATACGCCCCCAATTTCATGTGGACGTATAAAAGGGGTTCATTCAAAATGAGCCAAGTTCGAACTTGATCAAGACATAATTATATACATTAGTGCTGGCGACGTCGTGTATCAATACTTGGGGATACCTTTTATTCAAGAAAAAGGCGGGATTTATACAAGTGGATTTATGATATAACAATTTTTTCAATGAAATAGTTAGAAACTATTTATAAGGCAATGGATGCTAACCACTTCTATCAACTATATTACCAAATATCACAATTATAAAGTTAAGAAGTAATATATATAGAAACTTTGAAGATAAAATGTTAATTTTTATCCCCATTACCCAATATAAGAAGAATACTTTGAGTAGTGTTGAAACAGGTAACCAGGTCTGATTTGAGATTAACAATCAATTTTATTAGAAAATTTCTCACCTAATGAGACTTTAACCTGCTCATTTCTGTAGTAAATAAAAATCTAAAACTTGTGTTGATTTTGTTGATTGAATAATGTTGAGAGATTTACTATGATGGTGTATCAAATATGAATGCACAATAGCACATATTGCACGAATTACATTGTTTTTTTTCTTTATGGTCAAGATTATCAAGCCTATAGAACAAAACACAGTTATATAAACCGTATTACTTTTTATTAACTCTCCTCTTATTGGCTTTCCTCTGCTTGTATGTCAATTATACTTATTCCAGATTATTAATATTCATGATTATTAAATGTACAGATTCATTGAAACAATAACAACTAGAGCCACACGTGGCACAGAGTGGGACCTTGCAAATGTAGCAATTTGCAGAAGACCTTGAAAAAATAAACCTTCGACGATAATTAGGTCAAGTGCAAGAACAGTCTAAAGTTAAATTTTTGAGAATATTTTAATACCGGAAGTTGACGTCAGACCTCACAAATGAAAGTATCAGCAGATAGCCACGGTCAATGACCTTTGGTCTTGTAAAGGAGAAGGTCTAAAAAGGGCAAGATCACGAGATATAAGTCATCAAATTTTCAAATTGCATACGGCTATAAAACCGGAAGTTGAGATAGGACAGCAAATATAAAAGTACAAATAGATAGCCAATGTGAATGACCTTCGATCCTCCAAAAGTCAAGGTTAAAAAAGGTCAATGTCAAAAATTCAAAAATTTTGAATTTTTAAAACATGTTCCTTTTTTTGAACTATAAAGCTGAAAAAATCAAACTTCTAAGACAACCTGGCTCAACAGATGAAGTAATTGTACGCTAAGTTCCATTTTGAACAAATGTATAATTTGCGAGTTATGCCCCTGGCCAAAAATATCAATAAAGGGTAATTTAACCCGGATGTGCCACGCCCGCCTCATTTTTTTGGCATAAGTTAATTCATATTCTGAATGTTTTGTTGTTTTCCAAATTTTAAGCTTCTACATCATATAGGTCAAAAGATATAGGTCAACAAATGTCAATAAAGGTCAAAATCGAAAATTGAAAATGTAGAAATTTCAAAACCCGTTCCTTGTTTGGAAGTATAAACAAGAAGTGTCCCATCAAGAGTGTTTACGAGCTAAAAATTGAACAAGGTCAATAACTCATACTAAATATTTTTCGATTTTTCTTATTTTCAATAGGGTTTATCCTTGGGTGATAACAAACACTCATGCCAAATTTCGTCAAAATCTGTCAAGAATTGTCCCATCAAGAGCGTTTACGAGCTAAAAATTGAACGCGTTTTCAAGAACAAGGGCAATAACTCATACTAAATATTTTCGATTTTTCTGATTTTCAATAGGGTTCATCCTTGGGTGATTACGAACACTCATACCATCCGTCAAGAATTGTGTCTTGTAGAATGTTTACGAGCAATTGTGGACGGACGGCAATATATGCCACCCCCCTCCCCCCTTTCATGTGGGCGTATAAAAATGATATGAGATGTCTCAGATATAGTCTCATGAATTTTTGGCATGCTTCAGGTTCCGTTTTCTACTTACCTTGATGATATATATCTTGACTAGATTCAGGTTGTTCATAACTAAATCCTACCGCATTATAACCTGATTGTAAAGCTTCCTGATATCGCTTCCATTCCTCTTCTAAACAAATAATGAAAGAAATTCTTTGATTTAACATTCAAAACTTTCATCTTGAAGTATATTTGTCATATTACTTTAAATATTTCTGTGTATTTATGATTATCACACAGCAGTAAATTTCATGGCAGTAGGAAACATACACCCACTATAAGCTGTCTGAATTGATAACACTGTGTGTATTAACAACAAAAGTAAGCTTATATTTCTTATTAAAGAACTTAGAAAGAAGTTTAAAAATTTGTCTCTTGTGAATAAACAAGTTAATACTGAGATATATTTTTAAATCAATAGCAATAACCCAAATATTCTATATTATTATTCAAACTAACTTCACAAACATTGCTTTATCACTTAAGGTTACGCCTATATGCCTGTGCCTTCGTAACATTGCTTAACCACAATGTTACAACATAAAGTTCAAAATACATCAAATTATCAAAATCAAATTCTCAAATTTTGAAAGATCATGGGGAAAGTACTAAAAATTTGTTACACTCAAATAATATTGTCAATTTCAAACTTCATCATAACAAGCTTTAACATTGTCAAAGTGGCAGATTTGCTTTGTCTGAAACAAATAGGTAGGCACTATGTAGCATTTGCCCTTTTTTAAGATATTTCAGTTGAAATTTCTCTATGTAAAATATTTTATTGTAGAATCTATTTCTTCATTCTTTTTTCACACTTGATGGTAAATCGAATCTTTTGATGCAAATTGGAATAACACTTTCACATTAGTAGTCTTAGAATGACTTTGCCTTGTCTTTACAAAAGACTATTTTCAGTCAAAATTTTTGTATAATTTGCTTGAAATTTCGATAGGGTTCATCAATGGGTGATATAAACAATTTCACCAAGTTTCTTCAAAATCTGTCAAGAATTGAATCTTCTAGAATGTTAACGAGCTAAAAAATGAACGCCTTCTCAAGCAATAACTAATATTTTTCGATTTTTCTGATTTTCAATAGGGTTTATCCTTGGATGATAACGAACTCACACACCAAATTTTGTCCAAATTCGTCAAGAATTGTGCCGTCTAGAGAGTTCACAAGCTAAAAATTGAACGCATTCTCAAGAATCAGGGGCAGTAGCTCCTACTAAATATTTTTTGATTTTTCTGATTTTCAATAGGGTTCATTCTTAAGTGATAATGAACATTCACACCAAGTTTGCCAAAATCTGTAAAGAATTGTGCTTTTTAGAGTGTTTACGAGCTAAAAATTGAACAAGTTTTCAAGAACAAGGGCAATGACTCATACTAAATATTTTTCGAATTTTCTGATTTTCAGTAGTGTTTATCCTTGGGTGATAAATGCCAATCATCAAAATCTGTCAAGAACTGTGCCTTCTAGAATGATTATGAGCAAAAAATTTAACGCGTTTTCAAGTACAAGCGCAACAAATCATACTGAATATTTTTCAATTCTTTTGATTTTCAATAGGGTTCATCCTTGGGTGAATATGAACATTCACACCAAGTTTATGAAAGTGTTTACGTGCTAAAAATTGAACGCGTTTTCAAGAACAAGGGCAATAACTCATACTAAATATTTTTCAATTTTTCAATACGGTTTATCCAAGGGTGATAACCAACACTCATGCCAAGTTTCGTCAAAATCCGGCAAGAATTCTGCCTTCTAGAGTGTTTACGAAGTAAAAATTGAACACGTTTTCAAGAACAAGGGCAATAACTAATACTAAATATTTTTCAATTTTTCTGATTTTCGATAGGTTTTTTCTTGGGTGATTACAAACACTTACACCAAGTTTCGTCAAAATCCATCAAGAATTGTGCCTTCTGGAGTGTTTACTAGCTAAAATTGAACGAGTTTTCAAGAACAAGGGGAATAACTCATGCTACATATTTTTCAGATTTTCGATAGGGTTTATCCTTGGGCGATTACGAACACTCAGACCAAGTTTCATCAAAATCCGTCATGAATTGCACCTTCTAGAGTGTTTATGAGCGTTTCAAGAACAAGGGCAATTTCGTCGAAATCAGTCTAGAATTGTGCCTTGTAGAGCGTTTATGAGTAATTGTCTACGGACGGATGTGGGCGTATAAAATAGAAATATCTGAATTTGAATATAAGAATTAAACAAGAGTCTCAATAGCATTATTGGTGAGTAAAAGCAATTCATCACGCCACAAATATATAAATAAATTAGTCATTTATTCAGTTTGTCACACCAATGATCTATTGATGTTTAAATTACGATAAAAGAGTAATAAAGAGTGATCTTTACCTTCATAAACAGTTTTTTCTGCGATATCAGTATTCAATTCTAAGTACCTCTCTTCATCACATAATTTCTCAAGTTTTTCTTCTTCCTCTGATAATTCCTTCTTCTCAACATCAGCTTCACATTGGGATAGATCGTATAAATGTCCTCTACCATCATACCTAAAAGTAGTTCGGAAATATTACACCTCAACATATTTTCCAGCAAACTAGTATTGTTTATATAACAAAAAACACAAGGGGTATATTATGGTATAACTCACTTCTTTAATAACAAAGCACATAACGTTTCAACACAATTTTCACGTGTCGTCATCAGATGAAATGAAGTGAGGGTAAACATGAGGATATATAACAAGAAGGAAGCCATGTACAGAAGAAAAGACAATGAGAACAGTACAGACAATAAAGTGGGCAAGGACAAAGAGGCAGAAGCCAATATTATACAACTACAACAGAGGGATAAAAAAAAGAAAGATGAAAGAGGGGAAAGATTAACAAGGTAATTAACAATGGGATTAGTGTAGCCAAATTTTGGAGATGTAAAGTCCGGTGTCTCTATTCAATTCAGGGAAACAGCGGTGGATTTCAAGGGCTTCACGAATTCTTCTTTGCTTGTTTTCGGGTCGGTTCTTGGCAAGGACGGAATTATCTTCCCAGAGGATGTGGTGGGATGGGCAATTGATGAGGTGTTCAGACAGGGCTGAGATGGCATCTTGTTTCTTGGTGGATGTAAGGTGCTCTTTGGTGCGGACTGAAATGGGGCGCGATGTTTCTCCAATGTAGATGGCACCACAGTTACATGGAATGGAGTAAACCACACCTCAGTGGGGATTTCAGAGGATGGTCTGCCAGTTGCACCTATCAGGGATTTTAGGGTGGTACCAGACGTGAAATAAGTTTGGACAGACAGTTTCTGTTGCATGAGGCGGCGAATTTTGTAGCTGGTAGGTCCTAAGAAGGGGATGCCAATTCTGGATAAGGGTGAATCTGGTCTGGTTTGGGAGGGCTCGATATTGTTGGTGGGCTGAATGGTTCTGTTAATGGTCTTGTCGGTTACAAGTGGAGGGTATTGGTTGTAGGAGGTAAATACTGTTTTGAGATGGCTAATTTCTTCAGATAAGTATTCTGGACTGCATAAAGCCTTGACTCTTCTGGCGAGGGTTGATATGATGCCTGTTTAGGTTTGGGCGGGGTAGTTGGAGTTGGCATGAATGTATTGGTCACTATGGGTGGGTTTTCTGTAAACATTGGTCTTAAGTTCGTCGGATGATCTGTGGATGTTGATGTCAAGGAATGGCAATACAGTCCTTTTCAGTTTCTGCAGGAGCTATTCATAAATGAAATATTTCAATAGTACCATTTTCATACAGCACAAGTTTCGTCTAAATCAGTCCAGAATTTTGTCTTCTGAAGTTTTAGGAGCTAAAGATTGAACACATTTTTAAGAACAAGAGCAATAACCTTTTTTTAATATTTTTTGATTTTCTGCTTTTCAATAAGGTTATTCAACCAAGTTTCTTTAAATTGTTCCTTGCAGTAATTTTCAGACCGATCAGGTGTTCAGAACCACATGCCAACATGATTTTTTTTTACTATGTACAGAGTATGCCGTTGCACTATCTTACTGGTCCCTGATCCAATCTCTCTACACCTATTTCGGTACAGAATTCCAAACAACAAACTAACAAAATATTGATATATCATTTTTAGTTAAAGTTGTTCAATAAAATCAAATATTATTTCGGTACCGGTACCATTTTGATTTTCTCAAAGGGCCATTTTGACATTTTCAAGATGCCATTTCGACAAATTAAAAAGGGCCATTTTGACTAATTTTGGGGCCATTTTGATTAGGTGCCAAATTGAATATAACCCTTATTAAGCAGTTCACTACAACCTGCTCTATCATACTTAAAACATTTTACTTTTAGGCTTACAAGGATTAATTAGAATTAATGAGGTAGCCTGAAGTGCAGGCCTAAATGAAGCAAGTACAGTCGCGTTACCTAATTTACCAGAAATGATTAATAATCTATATGTGCGACCTTCGCATTTGCATGTTTTCATTAACATATGTTATGTCTACAATGTCAACCTGCAGAATTTTTCATATCATTTCAAAGCAATGTTAAATTATTATCTATTTCTAACAAAATCAAAATGCGGATTTCAGGATATGTATTCTCGAAGCGATCTTAGTGTTAGGATGTTCTAGAATCAACGTTAGAAGATAAGAACCTAGGACATCCTAGAGCTAGGATCGTTTTAAGAATTATCCGTCTGGTATTACCAAATGTCACAAAATTTTATCGGACAAAATTTCCTCATAATCCCAAGCTGTACTCGGAATTCCAAGTGTTTTCTGTTAGAAAATATACCAGTGAAAAAAGTCATGTGACAAACTAGGGGATTCCACGTCAGCAGAAAAACTTTAAGGAACACAATGCAAATTCTTTGTGCAGGACTGCAGTGTCAAGGCATTTTGGTCATAGAAGTTGACAATTTTCCAAAACAAGAAAAAAGCTGTTTTTTGTCGAGTTTGGTACTAATAGAATGATTTCTAATTAAAGGTACACAGTCGTAAGTAAGCAATCCTTCATTCAAAAACATCAAAAGAGCAATTTACAGCAGAAATCTTTCACGAACAGATAAACATTGTTTACATTAGAGTCTGTTATGCCATTGGAAGCCTTCCCTTTTTTTCCACATTATCCATATTTTACAGTGAAGTAACCTAATTTCGTGGAAACCTATTATTCGTGGATTTCTTTGAAGGAATTGTCACTAGTTATAATGAATTGATATTAAAGATAAATACTAAGAGAAGTTAATCATACTACCCAGTATCCATACAACGTGTTTTTCTAGACCTATTTATAGATCAAACATTGTACACGAAAATAGGTGACGCATTCTGCCGCCGTTGCCGAGTTGGTTGCTCATGAAATATGGGTCAAAGTGAAGGATTCATAAAGAAAATCGAAATAAATCAATTTTAATTATTTTGTAGAATATCTGAGGAAACATCTAAGACATAAAAATTAAAATTTTTTTTTCGTTTTTTCAATTTTGACGAAATTCGGTGTTGAATCCTTATATCCACGAAAATAGGTTACACCACTGTACTAATATTGACAGAACTTCACGGGCCTGTGGCATGGTTGGTTGCTCATGAAATATGGGTCAAAGTAATCATAATGAAAATCGAAACAAACCAATTCTATTTTATAGAATATCACAAGAAACTTAGAAAGAATTTTTTTCGTTTTTTGATTTAGACGAAATTTGTTGTTGAATCCTTATATGCACGAATATAGGTTACATCACTGTACTAGAGATATAACGACCGACCTGTCTATCATGAGGCTGTCATCTCCCATCCAAGGAATTAAATGGCGGCCTTTGTCTACATACAATGCCTTTTCGTCGTTTCTAAATATTTTGCAAGCATAACCGAACACAAATAAATCTTGATCATCATCTTTTTGTGATTGACATGAATTTTCATCCTCCAGCCAAAGTTGGGCAGCCATTTTCTTTTATCAATAGCATTATATCCTTTTCCGGGACAATTCGTCCGTTGAAATAACATAAAAACGACCACTTAAACGAAAAGACTTATTTTCTGTTGACAGCCTTATTTCGTCATGGGGTAGAGGCTGGGGGCTGGGGCACTATGGTGGAAATTCAAAAGATGGGAAACCGCTAGAAGAGGAATCAGTAAAGGTGGAAAACCACCGCATGTCGAGTAGGCCTAAGCTCGAGTAGGCCTAGTTCTTATAATATAACTCTATGGCCTAAGCCAGCTTACAAGAAGGGATATGATAGGTCAAATCGACCCAATGTAAAAGATATTTTAATCTGAACAAGTATGGATTTACGTCCAAAACAAATATGACTTTACCACAGCAAGTGTAATTCAACTTTATCAATGGGTTATGACACCCTGTCATTCCAAGAGAGCGTTAAAAATCTGGCTGTAATACTCGATTCTACATGATAAGCACGGGGAAGCGGAAAAGGCTTACGAGATTTTTCCAGGAGACCGACGATATAATACATCTCGATTGTTTTGATATTTTGTTTTGTTATGAACTATTGTGGGTTCCGTACACCAACATAGATGGGAGAAGAAATCCAAATTCCAACCCATGGAAGTCATTTGCTCCGTGTAAAAATTAGGAGACCGACACCCGAATAATTGTACATGCAACAAATGCCAAGGGATGTAGACTAATCCGGACAGTGGACTTGACATTCTGGTTTGACTGAAAGCCAGCGATCCCTGTGGCTTATGGGTCATTCTCCACTAATTATCACTTAATACGTGTCGGAGCGTGATTACGGTATAGTTAGGCCTATAAGTATTAGTTAATGAGAAATAAACATTAAACAACTGCTATTTATACTTAATCAATATTTAAAAAGATTTTTTCCATTCTGAGTTGAACTTTCTTTCATCTTACGACATCAAAAAGCCTATTATGAAAGAAAAACATTGTTGGCGAAATATGTTCTGTTGCTGAAATCCATCGCAGAAAACTGAAATAATATGAAAACATTTCATTTCTGTAATATAATACGGAAAATAGTTGCGAATATAATAAAACATTTCAAGAAGTTGCAATCTATATACAGAAATTGACGACGCGCTGAACAGATGTTCTTTGTCGGAAAAATTATGTATAGATACGTGCACATAGATTTTAGTGCGTGGACAAAAATAGTATTTATTGTCCAAAGAACTCTCGACCAGCATTTATTTCAACTGTTAGTAGCATAATATGAATTCGGTAACATATATGTCGGCTGTGTTTGTACATATCCAGGTTTTAAAGGCAATTTATGAACATTTTTAATAGTACGCAAAATTTTCAACAGATTACGTTAACAAATGGAAGTGTATATTGTTTATGTGTTAGAAAAAATAACAACTAACGACGTCCAAATGTAGAAGACTCGTGTGTTCAACTTATCAACAGGCTATGGTAACGTATCTGAGACAGAACGTAAAGTATCCGTTATATTTTTTTAGCTGTTATTTCTTAATTATACATGAATCCAGGAATATTTTATTACATGATAAGTTTAAAATTGTTCATCTATAACTTATGTTTATTTGGATAACTGACGTTAAGTGTGTTGTTGTAAATATTCAGGTAACGTAGGCCCTATCTGTTCAAATGCGTAACGTATCTCTCTCAATGCATTTATTTTAAGTATTTAATTTCAAATCATAGAATATTTTAGTAAAAACAGGTATTGCAGGTAAAACAAGAGCTGAAGTACAGAAACAGTATAGAGGGAGAGAAAAAACTTGAATGATCCAAACTTTTTAGATAAAGAGAAGCTTCGCCAAGTATCATACCGGGTTCCGGCATCTGAAAAAGATAACAAGAGATTACAAATCGACAGAGATAGAAATAAAGTAAATAAAGCAGAAATACAAGAAGTCTACAGAAACACCAAAAGATCTGCCAACTCAATCAGACACTATATCAGGTTCATCTGAAGTACCAACGAAACTAATTGTTCAGCTTCCCTACTTCAAGAAAAAAACGCTGTCAAAGAAAAGATCAAAAGCAAAAGGCACGCAATACCATATCTCAACTGGAGAATAAATTGAAACAAGCTGAGCGTTCAACTAAGAGATGGCAAAACGTTTTGAAAGATTGAAACCGACAAACCCCATTCCCACACAAACATCAACAGCAGGTACACATAACACAAACGACGCTGGTACACCATCTACACCCAATCCTAAAAAAAATTCCATACCATTATCAATCACACCACGCACACGGACTGAAAAAGACTTAAGAACTAATGGAATAAGTCCAAGGTCACTTCCGCAATCAGTTGTTATAAAGTTGGTAATAAACGAATGCCTTTTATCTGAAATAAAAATAGCCAGAAAAGCAAATAAATCTCAAAAACACAATAAAATCATAAATACAATTATTTCTGGCAAAATTGTAAAGAAGTATAGGTGTGTAAATAATCTTAAAACTGCTTTGCGTTTTCTGATTCCAAAAAAATCCGAGATTTCAAACACAAACGACAACCGATATTGCAACGTCAGGTTTCTGAGATCGTTGTAGCTTTCTATAACAGAGATGATGTGAGCAGGATGCTTCCTGGCAAAAAAGATTCTGTGACTGTCAGTCCGAAGTCCAAAGCACAGTCACGTATTCTAAATGATTACCTGAGTAACCTTTACCACAAATTTTGTACAGAAGAATTGTCAACAAAGTTTTCATTTTCCACATTTTGTTAGCTGCGCCCCCAAAACATCAAACTTACCCCTCTCCTTTCAAGAAACGCGTGCCTGTGCAATATCCACCAAAATATGGCATTAAAACTGAAATGTCTGCGCCACTATATACGGACTCGATGTATCGCCAAACCCAGAAGTTGTGAAGAAGACCATTACCCTAGAAGATATGTCTGAAAAAGTTTATGCAATAATTGAAACGGAAATATCATTGGAAGAATGGCAGAGAACAGAAATAGATGGTAAAAAGAAAATGAGAATTATTAATGTAACAAAACCAATGGAGGAATTTGCTATACTTATCTGACGGATCAATATCAGTTGTTTCTGGAACACTTGGAACGGGTCAGCGAGCAGTATAAAGCCTTGTCTGAATTAAAGGAACCACTCACTATAAACCACTTAATAGTACAGATGGATTTTGCAGAAAATTTTTCCTGTTCATCATTAGACGAAATACAGTCTGCATATTGGAATTCCACATCGGTTACGTTGCATCCCTGTCGTGGTCTATATACGAGGTAATTCATTAGTGGACAGACTCTCCATCTTCGCTACAGAAACAGGCATTTTATCAATGTAGTTAGACAGCATCAGGAATTGTTTCGGGTCGACGCCCTATGGAATTATTTTGAGGCCGGTCATGGAAAAGCAGCCAATGAAAAACATCGGAAACAATAAGTTTGAATGCTATAGTTTAACACTTGGATCTTAGATTTCATGCTGATACCTCTTTGCAATGAGATCAGTCGGATATTCTGGACCCGTGTTTGTGGTAGGCCTACATTGAGGTGATTTTATAATCGATTCTCTGCAATACTGGTATTCAATGGGGGTTCTTTAGAATTGTTTTTTAGAATTTGTTGTAGTACTGGCGGTGGTATGTTTTAGAAAGGAAAATGTTACTTATTACTTGGGAGCACAGATTCGGTAATGTCTGATACCACCCCTGTTCTTGAGTTGATTATAGCATTTGTTACAGACCTCGTTCACGTTATTCTCCATGCCTATCTTGTAGAATCGATTTTTAACACTATCTTGGAATGGCAGGATGTCATAACCTACTTGTTAATGATCTGCTTCTGTTTTATTTAACACGGAAAGTCTGGTTAAATTTTACACTTGTTTAACTTTACTTTAGTCGGGAAAGACTTGACAGCTATGGCGTCTTCAAGCCATGGAAGTTTTTGTGCAGCTTTTGACTGCAACAACAGCAAAGGCAGTAACCGGGAACTAACTTTTTTTTAGGTTCCCGAAGAATAAGGAATAAGGTATTTTTTTTTCATTCATATTTGACGCCTATACCTTGAAATTGATTCTCATTGAAGGACATGGTTAACACTGTCACTGACACTTCTGACAAGTTGTGTTTACAAAACAAAAATGACACCACTAGGCTACATAAAAACAATAAACGAAATCTGGGTAGATAGATTAATTCACGAACTGTAACTAGATCTAATTCTCACTATTCATTTACCTTTGTAATATGTCAACAATTAAACCAGTTTGTTGCTTCAACATGAACACCATTTGTTAAATCATTATGTCATTATTATTTTGACAAATTTGCGGCCATTTAGAATATTTTGTCAATTTTGACTTTTTCCAGGACCACGTGCCTTTTAAACTTTTTTTTGTTTGGGACCATTTTGATCATAATTCAAAACATTCATAGTCAAAACATTTTAATTCTGACAGATTTGAAATAATTATGCTTTCAAATGGAGTGTGTAGTAATGAATTTTGAAACATGATCCAACACTGTTTTTTAAAGTGGTCTGAATGTGTATTGGTCCGACTTTGTTTCGTTTCATTTTTAAAATAATTTTGATTCCATAATATTGACGTCAACAAAAATTCCGTCAAATTGAATAGTTTCGTTTTGTAGTATGAAAATCTACGATCTTTAAATTTAACAATGCTCATTTTAGCGCCTTTTTTTCATTCCAGTATGCCAGTTGGCAGCGGTAGGCGGTTGGCTTTTAAAACCCACCCATTCAATTATGTATTCATTTATGCATATCTTGTATACTGCGTATAAAGGAATTTCAAATCAATCTTTTCATTGAAAATAAAAGCATTATTATTATTAGTCATTAATTACTAATTATACATTGTGATCCTAGCTCGTTATATGGGGTTCATGACTATGGATATCGATGTATCATTATTTCTTACTTTTGTTATTGTTTTCAGAAAATTGTTGATTTACAACAAAAACTACAGACAAAGGCAGCTGAAAGTGAACCTGACCAGAGTACTGTACACACTGAGGAAGACACTGTTAAGGCAGCTAAACGTCTTGGTATGTCGTGTCAATACGTTAAAAACTGCGTATTGTTGTACAAAAGTTTATTCACAAACATCTTCTAATGAGTTTTAACAAACATTATAAACTGAAAAAACACACTGATAACCGCTACCAGCGTTTTTTTTTAACAATTTGAGGCTTCGGTAAGAATTTGAGCACATGTCCATTGGGGTTCACCGGGAGTCTAGCCAGGAGTTTAGTTGCGCCTAAAATATGCATTACGAAATATAGGTAGTCAAAAATTAAGATATAGACTTCTGTATTCTGGTAGTTACATGTCGGACCAGTGTGCTGAATGTTTTAGAGGACAGCTTCGCAATTTTAAAACAATATTAATCTTTGGTGCATCAAATTGAAACAGCTGTTGGCATTTTATTTCAGTAATAACGCAGCACCAACCAGCAGCCTAAAGGACACCCTTTGCAGTTGATTAAGCGTCTCACTGAAATAGGAATGCGACCAACAGCAGTAGTATGTGACCGGGGTACCTGTAACAGAGCTCTATATAGGCTGTTAGATGTTGACGTGGACAGGCCATACTTTCAGGTATGGAGTCAAGTCATACCAACAAAAAATAAGATGGATTTTTAATTTTTGATTATATACGCTGAGGCGATAACCTCGAGAGTTCCCATGTTTCTTTAAGTTGAGATTCAATAAACTAAAATACACTCATCCAACGATAGGATTTAAATGTGATGATAAAGGGAGGTGGGAATTGTTTAGCTAAGCCAATCAGTAATAGTGTCCACAGTTCACCGTTGAAATTTGAGCCTTCAAATCCATGTGTGTCCAGAATTATCCCCGTTTGAATGTTAACGACTCGTCAATTTAAGATACTCTGTGATATATAGAAAAAGACATATAATTATAGAAATAGTGAGTAAAATTCCTGGTATTTTTCAAGCAATTATGTGGTTTTCTTGTAGTTCTGAAGACTATTAACAAATATTAAAGATTAAAAACAACCTCCCAAAATGCTGCAACTGTCCCTTTAAAAGTATAACATGGTGAGGTCAGATTGCATTTGTGAATATTTTGATTTCAGGTGGAATTTTGAATGAATGAGATGTAGATGAAGTCTCTGCCCTGTACAGCCTTGAACAAAATTCAACCAATTTTTCAATTTTTAGATACAAGTTTACCATAACTTTTAAATAAATAAATAATTTACTTTCAGGTAATGGAGCTATAACCCTAGATAGCAAAGAGAGGATTGACCATTTTCGCAAGATTGTTAGTGGCTGGAAGATGGTAGGGAAATCGTACCATGCATAATAGGGCTACTACAAAATCTAAGTGCGATAGCACTGTTGGTTGAGTCAATTGTCATTCCCCGGTGAAGTATATTTTGTCAGGTCGTACCAGTTAGGATTGTCTGGATTTCGCAAGTGCGCAACAAGGGAGGACATAGATTTAATCCATCATCTGAGGAATTCTCGTATGCATATAGATCCTTGTGCACAAACCTTTTATTAAAGCCAGTAGAGTCTGCCGATGCTGACAAGCTTTTGATTACCTTAGCTGCACTTGATCAAAATCGAAAGAGAAAAAGGAATGAGAATGAGGAAAATGAGAAGACTGCTCCAAAGAAGCAGAAAGGGAACATTTCTGAAGTAGTGTTGATTGATGACTTTGTTGTCCCAACAATTGTGTCCAATATTATCTCTTACATAGGAGGGTACCTACTAAAAAAACTACCATGCTGTTACATCTGCATTTGGATCTGAATGTGTGCCTTGTGATTCTTTGAGACAGAATTGATAAGTTATTTGTGGAAAGGATTCCCAAGCTAATTTGAATTTCATGTCTTTTAAAGTCATTGATGAGCCATGTTGAATCCACTATTCCATTCTTGAAAATGGTAGAGCATGTCTTATGCAACCGTACTCAGTTCCTTGATACGACAGTAATTTTACTACTTTTGGGAAATTAGATATCAAGGTTTTCTTTAAGGAAACTGACACTCACCAACTTTTGTTTAAATCCTCTTTTCACCCTAAACATACATTTTCGAGAGTTATTAAGTCCCAGATATTGCAGTTTTACCAAATTTGCACACGAGAAGAGGGCTTCGAGGCATGCTCTATTGGTTTTAAAGAATTGCAGAAACGTAGAAAATCTAAACGATACCTTCGAAAGATTAAGAATTTAACGATTTGTGAAATGAAAGCCAAGTTAGATATCTCTACCACCATCGACTTTTTTTGCAAATACCACACCCTGTTTCAAAACTTCTTGTTTTACCTGCCCAGACATCAACTCGTTTGTCACCAACACCTCAAATAATGCCAAATTTCCAATAACAGAAAACCTTTCGTGTGACAGCAGCAATATTATATACCTTATAATTATCATGTACTGTCTGTCTTAAACAATATATTGTTGAAACAAAAAACAAATTAAGAACACGATTCAATGGCCATAGATTCGATATAAGTCATAATCTTGACAAATCTGTTGCTAAACATTTTAAACAGTCAGATTACACTATAAATAATGTCGCAAGAAGAATCTTAATGATATTTTAGTCCACGGTAGACTCAGTAGAACTTTAATGTCAATATATGTAATATATATATATTTTTTTACAGACTATTGGTTCATCTCCATTTTAATTTAATACACTCGCTTTATAGTTCATAGAATGTTGGTTACAGAAACAGAAAACGGCGAACTTCATTCACATTAATATACAGTCAAGTAACCTAATTTCGTGGAAACCTATTATTCGTGGATTTCCGGAAAGGATTAATAATTTACATGGGCGACCCTCAGCATTAGTATGTTTTGATTTTCTCTACAATATCGGCTAGTAGAATGAATCCAGTAGTCTCAAGCAAGGTAAAATGTATCAATCTATACTTTGACAAATTCAAAATGGCAGATTTCAGTTATTACCAAACGTCACCATTTTTTATCGGCCGAATTTCCTTATAATCCCAAGCGGTAATCGGAATTCCAAGTGTCGTCTGCTAGAATGTAGTCCAACGAATGAAGTCACGTGATCAACTAGCGAATTCCGTGTCAGCAGAAAATTTCTATGGAACACAAAGTGGACCATATTCTTATGTTGTTTCAGTGACTTTTAGCAATAAATCACCACTTATTTATAGATCAAAGATTGTACACGAAAATAGGTTGCGCATTCTGCCGCCGTTACCGAGTTGGTTGCTCATGAAATATGGGTCAAAGTGAAGGATTAATAAAGAAAATCGAAACAAACCAATTTTAATTATTTTGTAGAATATCTGAGGAAGCATCTAAGACATAAAAAAAAATTCGGTGTTGAATCCTTATATCCACGAAAATAGGTTACACCACTGTATATACTCTATTATTTTAAAATTATTTAATTTGTAATTAATTAATTATTACTTTATAATTTAATTTCATTACTTTATAAAAATCACGTTGATGTAGCTGAATTTTCACCTCGGCCTGTGCTTTCGTAACATCAATTATATGTTGTTGTTACATCCACTCTTACCAATATCGTTAACACTACTGGGTTAATGGCCATTCGTAAAAGTTTTAATAAAAACCCGACGAGGCAATTTTACAACTTTTAGAGATTGGTCTCAGTCGCAACGATTTCACATTTAATGGTAAAACATATTTCCAAACTTCAGGGACAGCAATGGGCAAACGATTCGCCCCTTCGTACGCAAACCTTTTCATGGCAGAGTGACAACGTCAGGTATTACTCTTTGTCCATTTGACCCACTTGTACGGACGCTTTTTGGATGACATAGTTATGGTTTTTGACTTATTTTATCGAAGAGTTTTGGTAATTGTTTGAAATTCTCAATAACCACCATCCGTCCATCAAACTAACAGCCAATAACAGTCGAAAAAGCATAGACTTTCTCGATACCAATGTCCTTCAACGGAAATTCCAATGTAGAGACTAATACATAAATATTATTAAGGTGTATTTTAAAGAAACTGATACTCATCAACTCCGGCACAAGAGCTATTTCACCCAAAACATACCTTTTCTGGTATAATTAAGTCACAACTAAAATCAATCAGTACATAACATGCACTATTCTTCTTTTTATTTTTTTTCTAATTTCAGATCAGAATCAGATCAGAAGGAAACTCAGAAACCAGACCTATTATCCCAATTTCTCAATAAAGTATTTGTTCCATCCTAGGCATGTACATTTGGGAGAATCAAACCCTCCCTTCCCCGAAATCAACTACCATGATTTATGTGATGACACAAATCATCGCACTTCTGGCGAACCGGCGAATGTGCAATTTTTGTGTTTTGAGAAATTCGCATTTAAAAATTGACGGAAGTTTGGACTTCTTTTTAAAAATGAATAAATTCAAGAAACCGTGATAATAAAGTATCTATCTACAGATCAACATACTCGCTATTCAATATAAATTTAATTTTGATGAAAGGCATGTCTGTTTTCTGATATAGGGGTTCACGTGGGTCACATTCGCCAGTCATTCGCCATCTAAATCTGAGATAACATTTCAAAATATTTCAAAATACTTGCAAACTCGGCTAATATGAAATTACTTTGTAATGAGGGGAAAGGTTCAAATTTTTGCCTTTCGTGAAGTTTGCTAGAAAATTTCACTGGGACATAATGTTGTCAATAATATATTTGAACTGTGTCTGTATAGTAGGCCTACGCAATATACATATAAGCTATATAAGTATCACCGCTTAGTATTACCGTACAACTTTGAAAATTTCCACACCAAATTGTAGCTCCACTGTGCTTACAAGAAAAGTAGACGAACACATACATACACAACAATAAGTAACTTTTGAATAAATCTTCAATAATTTTGCTGGTTATGTTCAATGAAGAAAATATAAATTCTTGAGACATTTCAGAGCGTATAACAGGAAAATGCCCAGAACACAATCATGAGAGATCAGCGTATTTTTCTGATGATATTTTTGGAGGAGAAGAGAATGCATATACCGGTTCTGAAATATCTAAGATTAAGAGTAAAAAAACTCTTTCTGTATAAAATAATTTAAAAGAAGATTTTCGTGTGCTCGCATTTTTTTTACTTTGAGTTGCTTAACACTCGTCCAAAACATGGGACCCCCTCTTTTGATACTCTTAAGCGCAAAATGCTCATTTGTTGGGAAAGTGTTTTCGAGTCAAATGTTCGAAGTACAGACATCTTTAACAAAATAAGGGTCTCGTCTAGATATCTTTATTAGCATGGAGAGCTCCGATGGCAAGGTGATTTCTTAAGTTCTTTTGATTGCTCTCCCAATTGTGCTATGGACTGAATCGCTCTCATTTTGACCATGATTGGTTTAAAAAAAATGCAGAGTGATCTCTTCTATGAATTTTGATTTGCTAATGAAATTCGATTGCATTGCTGGTGAAAATGATTTTTGTTTTGACCAGAGCATCCATTTGCAAAGAAAGAGACTTTTTTAAACTGATAAACATTTGGAGCTATTTCATTTGAAGTCCTGGATGCAATTCCCTCATGCCACAAAAAGCATCTCACACCTTTTGTTTTTATGAAGTAAATTGTAAAATTATAATTCGACAGGCGTCTTCTATAGAACACTTCACACTTTTTGGAAGGTAGATAACTTGTTGCAAGTCAAATGTAGCTGGATGAAAAGAGATCTCATTTTCCCCCTAAAAATAAGGCTCGGGTTCGTTGTTAACTTTTAATAATCGTACTCATAAAAAAACTTGCAAAACAAAACAATGTACAGAATTATTACACAATAAAATAATATATACAAATACAAACAATACATCATTTATAAAAATGGAATGCACCAAAGTTCTTCTAGTTAAACGAATATATGATTATGAAAAATAGCACATACTGATAAATTATTATAAATTAACTTCAACCTACCCGGGGTGGGGTAAAATACCAATTACTAATTCACCCGATTCGCCTTTTATTAGTTGATTCTTTCAAGAAGTTGTTAGTGGCTACTACTGCTTATAACATAACAAAGGCACCTTTCCGCCTTCAGAGGTAAATATTAGTTGCTACGAACAGCTAACAAAGGCTATCACGTTAATAACAATCCACTGCTCGCAGCAGCTAACAAAAGCTAACAATTATACTGCTCTTAACAGCTATAAAGGCTTACAATGGGCCAGAGGTAGCACCGGGGTATTGTATCTTGGGCATTGCCTGTACCAAGGTATTCTTTAGTGGGACACGGGCAGAGTAATATTGAAACTCTTGTAGTAGTAATAGTAGATCATTTTAACTGGTCCATTGGCTGTAGCAGAGTATTTTGACTGGATCACTGATTGTACCGGATCATATGGCCATTGGTAGGAATAGTCTTTTACGATTCGACCATTTGCTGTACGCAGGCTCTGTGATACTGGCCCACAGGTAGTATCAGATTATTGATATTGGACTCCTAGTAGTACTATGCTATTGTGACTGGGCCACTGGTAGTACTAGGCTATTATTTGTGGGCCATGGGCAGTGCTAGGTTATTATCATTGGTCGTCTGGTTGTTCTAGGCTATTGTTACTGGGCCACTGATAGTACTAGGCTATTGTGTGTGGGCCATGGCCTAGTAATTATCATTGGTCTTCTGGTAGTACTAGGCTATTTTTAGTGGGCCACTATTACTGTATTAGTACTAGGCTATTGTTAGTTGGCCATTGGTAGTACTAGGCTATTATTACTGGGCCACTGGTAGTACTAGGCTATTATCACAGGGTCACTGGTAGTACTAGGCTATTGTATCTGGACGACTGGTAGTACTAGGCTATAGTTACTAGGCTATAGTTAGTGGGCCATTAATAGTACTAGGCTATTGTTTGTGGGCCACTGGTAGTACTAGGCTATTGTTAGTGGGCCATGGGTAGTACTAGGCTATTATTACTGGGCCACTGGTAGTACTAGGCTCTTATTACTAGGCCACTGGTAGTACTAGGCTATTGTAACTGGGCCAATGATAGTACTAGCCTATAGTTACTAGGCTTTTGTTACTGGGCCACTGGTAGTACTAGCCTATTGTTTGTGGGCCACTTTAGTACTAGGCTATTTGTCTGGAGAATACGGGAGAATTAACCAGATCCATGTGGCAACTCCACTTGATTTTTTTTACAGAGGAAAATCTTCACATAATTATAGAATAGTTTTTTTCGTTTTAAATATAAACTTACTATAATTTATTAATTATCAACTCAACTTAATTATAAGGCTATCAGTACTATTTTAAAGCATATGTTCTAATTAACTTTTAAATTATCGGCAAAGTTCGAAATACCAACAAACTTGCGAAGAAACCCCATAAAACTAGGCCTAAAGTCTATCATAACCTTTCCTAGAAAATTTGGGAGCCACGGTGGCTTAGTGAATTAGAAACTTGCCCGCTAACCTGAAGGTTCAGGGTTCAATCCCGGCATAGGTCGAGATAATACTTTCGGATTTTTCAAACTGGTTTACCCCTGTCAGTGATGCAGGGACTGACATGGATGGGACAATAAACCGATGCCCCGTGTGCTACAGGCTGTGCGCTTTAAACCATTTATTTGGCCAACGTGTTTAGGGCATACATCAAGTCAGTAGCCAGTATGTGACATCATAGGCCTACGAAATCTATTTCCAGAGACGGACAGATTCAAAATAA